AGTTTCCTCTGGCCTCGCCCTGCTCAGGCATAGTTCACCATCTTTCGGGTCCCAACGGGCATGCTCACACTCGAACCTCTCACATCAGATCGTGGTTGGCAGACATTGCACCCGCAGAGGGTTCCCGCCACTCAGGTTTCTTCCGCCTAGTGGGCTAATCACCCACCGGCTCGCATGCACGTTGAACTCCTCGGTCCGTGTTTCAAGACGGGCAAGATAGAGGAATTTCGCAGCATTAGACCACGCAGGAACCCGAACGGGCCCGCCGAAAGAGGCGCGTGCTCAAGGTCCTCGATTGCCGTGACGGCCACCCGTGGGGGGTTTCAATCGCGGGGGTTTCAATCGCTCCCCACCGTAATGCCGGTCACAGCGGCCCATGCTGGCAGGCGCCCCACGTCCAACAAGGGGGGCGACAACACAGTCGTCGTCCACCCCTGCCCAGAGGGGAGCGCACGACCTCTCCTCCATCCGCTTCTCGGTCGGCAATTTCAAGCACTCTTTAATTCTCTTTTCAACGTTCTTTTCAACCTTCCCTCGCAGTACTTCTTCGCTATCGGCCCCTCGCACATATTTAGCCTTGGATGGGACTTACCACCCAATTGGGGCTGCATTCCCAAGCAACCCGACTCTTGGACAACACCTCGTTGCGCAGCAGGGTCCGGCGGTCGACGGGGCTGTCACCCTCTTCGGCGTCCCCTTCCAGGGAACCTGCACACGGCCCGCTGCAGAGGTTGCCTCTCAAGACTACAATTTAGGGAGCAACACAGCCCCCGGATTTTCAGTCTGGGCTATTCCTGGTTTGATCGCCGCTACCAAGGGAATCCTCGTTGGTTTCTCTTCCTCCGCTTAGTCATATGCTTCACCCACAAACGGGTTCTGGAGGGCAACAATAGGGCGGAGCGAAACCCACCACTCTGGGCTGCGGCCCCCACAGGCCCGCTCGGAATGCTCTCCAATTCCCTTCCACKTTAGGCTATCGACGCTCTCCAAGTGGGAAGCGAGGGAAGCCACGACCACGGACCCCACCGCTCTCCGAAACGGAAGGTGCTGAGGTCRTGAGGAATCCAATGATGCTCAGGCGGGCGTGCCCTTGGCAGAAGCCTTGGGCGCCACGTGCGTTCTAGGTATCGATGGCTCACGGATTTCTGCAATTCACATTCAGTATCGCATTTCACTGCGCTCTTCATCCTTGCGAGGGCCAAGATATTCGTTTGCCGAGAGTTCTACAATATGGTGCCGTTCCGATAGGACCGACCCCTCGACCAGAACAGAAGGAGGCCGTCAACCCGGACAGCGACAAATCAGAGCAGGTACATCAATAAGAAGTTGCAAAGCCGTCGCCACCAGTAGCTGCCACGGGCCCGCCCGACCCCCCGTTCGGGGGGCCAGGCAGGGCACCGGGGAGCAGCGGGGCAACGAGGGTGCAAGCGCTGTCTCCTCCCCCCCCCACCAACCCGACACCACCCCGTTCACGACTAAAACCCTCCCCCAACGGCCCTCCACCCCGAGATTCAGACCACCTCGACTGTGTCGAGGACGYCGATCTGTCCGGAAAGGAGAACCCCGTTGCGAAGGAAGGAAGGACGAAACGGGGAGGGGCCGAGGACCCCACACCACACCCCGCCCCTAGCCTGTACCACGACCCTCGATCCCCAAACAAGCCACAAGCTCCGCACGAAGCCCAGATCGAGGCTGGGATGGAAAGGAGGTCTGGACAAAGCTGAGACAGGAAGGAGCGGGGGTACGAAGGCCGAGGACAGCCGCCACCACCCGACATCCCGCCCCTGACCCTCCCGCARGGCTGTCCGTGCCCGGACCAACCGCCATCCCGACCAGATGTCGAGAGTGGGGCTGGGCCGAGGTAACAACCTGSGGAGGCGAGACGGGATGAAGGGGGAGCAACGCCACAAGGCCCCGGACCCTGCCCAMTCCCCCCACCCTCGACCTACACCACGCGCCCCTGTGCGCCGGGCCAGCCGCCAGCTGGGCACTAAGCCCAAGATGGTGTTGAAACGGAAGAGAAAAGCGGATGCAGGGAGGACGGGGGCAAAGGGTGGCGGAAGGGCGAGCAAGCCAGCRTCCCACACCCCGAAGATCGGTCATTCACGTGTCAACGATCCTTCCGCAGTTTCAACTACGGAAACCTTGTTACGACTTTTCCTTCCTCTAAATGATAAGGTTCAATGAACTTCTCACAGCACCCCCGAGATCACCGCAATCCAGACACTTCACCGGACCATTCAATCGGTAGGAGGGACGGGCGGTGTGTACAAAGGGCAGGGACGTAATCAGCGCGAGCTGATGACTCGCGCTTACTAGGCATTCCTCGTTCAAGATCGATAATTACAAC